ATAGTTTAAGAAAGGATTGTATTGTTGATTCATTCAACTTGGCAACATATAATAGATCAGTTTGATTCACACATGCTGGTCTAAATAGAAAATTTTCAGGTTTATGGTGGATAATATTGCTGAGGGCGTACGGGAAAATCACAGGCGATTACTCGCTGCAAGAAAGGATAGATGTGCAGACAGGGATAAAGATGATTGCAAACCTATGTTTATCTGATGGGTTTGATATGTTTCCCACTCTGTTGGTCACTGATGGCTCTTGTATGATAGACCGGCGTATGGGTATCCACGGTCACCCTCTTGAGATCCAAGTAACTCTCAAAAACAAGTCTTCTTGATTTTAAGAAGAAACTTTTGACAAACATGCCAAAATGGTTCTGTTGACACAGGCTTTGTTCTATTCCGCTCTTCGGTCTTCTCGTGAGATGTTAACTGTAAACGACAGCTCCAAAAACCTTATGAAGACAATTAACAACAGGCTCAGTGCATTATCATTTCACATCAGAGAGAACTATTGGGTTGACAAAAGCAAAATCAACGAGATTTACCGTTACAAAACAGAGGAGTACTCAATGGATGCAACCAACAAGTTCAATATCTACCCGGAACAGGTTTCTCCATGGTTAATGGACTGGATTCCTGAAGGTCCTAGATCTGGATTCCTTGTAGGAAACCTCACTCCTGGTCACATGGACTTCAGGTTCTTCACTCTTGGAAACCTCTGGTCAATCATATCTTCCTTAGGAACACCGAGACAGAACCAAGCTATATTGAATTTGATTGAAGAGAGATGGGATGATATCATTGGTCATATGCCACTTAAGATTTGTTATCCGGCTTTGGAATCTTCAGAGTGGCATATAATTACCGGAAGCGATCCGAAGAACACGTGAGTATACTTCAGGTTGAAGTAGCTTTTCTCTCTTCCAAAATCCAAACTTTATCTAATCTTTGTAAATTTTTGTAGGCCTTGGTCTTACCACAATGGCGGATCATGGCCAACACTTCTCTGGCAAGTAAGCATGGATTCTTACCATATCTTTGTAATAATTTGCTACATATGTAACATAACTCACATATGTATTTGAATTTTACTTAGTTCACATTGGCATGCATCAAGATGGGTAAACCAGAATTAGCAGAAAAAGCAGTTACTTTAGCAGGGGAGAGGCTTCAAGCGGACCGTTGGCCTGAGTACTACGACACAAGAGACGGGAAGTTTATCGGAAAAAAGTCCAGGCTTTACCAGACATGGACAATTGCTGGTTTCTTAACTTCAAAGCAGCTATTGCAGAATCATGAATTAGCATCTTCACTGTTCTGGGAAGAAGATCTTGAGCTTCTAGAGACTTGTGTTTGTGCACTCACTAAATCAGGCAGGAAGAAATGTTCCCGCGCCGCAGCAAAGTCTCAGATTCTTATCTAACTTGCGTTTTGTCACTAAACAAGTTTAGGATTACAAATTCCTGTTGAGAACAAAAATGTTACACAGGTTAACTAAATCATTAGTATCACTAATTTGTATATATAATATATTTGAAGAAATCAGTATGAATCAGCTTCTTGAACTCATTTTTTGAATCTTGAATGTTTACTTACCAATGTTTGCACTGAACAAATGCAGCTTGTTGTATCTTTTTTTCATTTTACTCATAAAACTCTCACAGGCATTTCCTCGAACACTTTACGAGCAAATTGAATAGCACTCAACAAAAACTGAATCCGACACAGAACTTTTGTCGAACACTTTGCGAGCATTAAAGGTTGCTTCTTTTAATCGGGCACAAAAAAGTGAGTTAATGGGCTAGGCCCATTCATAAACTAATTATTGATTTTATTTCCCACCAAAACGACGCTGGATTAAGCAGAGAAACCCAGATTCAGGTTTTGCTCAGACGAACGGAAGTGAAGGCTCGTGAAGAAGAAGAGCAACGATGATGGCTTCGAGACGATTGATTGAGACCGCGAAAGCAGCTTTAGGGAAAACATCGAATTCGTGTTCGGCTTTTGGCCTCCCCAGATTCTACTCCAAGCCATCCACTTATTTCGGTATGCTGCGTTTAATTCGTGCGATTTGGATTTGAATCGTCCTCTGTGTTCTTGAGGTTCATGAGTGAGCTTAGATTTCGATTATTCATGGAAATGATAAGAATTACTGGGTTTTGATTGGTTGCATTTTTCATATTTTGTGTGTTTGGGATGTCGACTGGAGATGAATTTTGTTTTGATTGTACGAATATACGACTTATCACTTTATCAGTCAATGTGAATTGGTTCTAGGGTTTTATATGGTATTGCAGTGAAGGTTGGGATTCCAGAGTTCTTAAGTGGGATCGGTAAAGGAGCTGAGACTCATATTGCTAAGCTTGAAACTGAGATTGGTGACCTTCAAAAGCTTCTTGTGACGCGTACTCTCAGACTTAAGAAGCTTTCTATCCCTTGCAAACATGTAAGTATCAACTCTCTTTTTCTTCTTTTTTTTGTTGTGTATTCATTTGGGGCCATTTTGGTTGAACTGTCTAATACCATCATTACGCCAAAGGTTCTTAGGGGATTAGATAGTCCATTACATTGGTCTTTTGTTTCAACCAATCAAAGGAAACAAAAGGTTGGGTTCTTAAAATTTTCAACTTTGGAGGGATATTCGAAACTGATAGAGATATTCGTATATTCTTATTTCCCGAACATGTGAGATGTAACTTCAGCTTGTTATCGCCGAGTCTTGCTGTCTTTATCCAAAAAATATGAAATGTTTCCATATATACATCCGGACATCTTTCCTTTGCGTAAACGTTAATGGGTTTATGGAACACATCCATCTTATACGTGTATACGTTGGCTCAATTGTTCAGCTCTACCTATTTGATTACCTCATGGGTTTCACAGTTCTTCTTTTTTTTTTGGTTTTGCAGAGGAAACTCATACTGAAGTATGGCCAGAAATACAGGCTAGGCCTATGGAAACCTAAAGCTGACGCTATCAAGACCTGATCGAGTCACTATGTTGAATTGTGAGTCTCTCATGCTAAGTTTTACTGCTGAAATAAGTTGTACTCAAAACCAGTTAAGTATTGGACAACCTAGACAGTTGTAGTAATGTTAGTTTAATGGTTATTGCAGCTCATTCAAAACATTGCCACAAAAAATTCTCATGTAACTGTTTTCTGCACTATTCAAGAATAGTTTGGATATAGAAAATCAGTGAAAGCTATCACTAGTGAACACCAAAATTGCGTGTTTCGGAGGCGCGGCAAAGTCATGTTGTTCATATGTGAAAAAGTTTCTCCATCAAAGTCATGTACCTTTTAGCTGCATGTAGATGTGTGATAATTGGGTTCAAGAACATGATCAGTCAACAATTTCGACTGTAGAGAAGGTAGAATATTGTGTTAGTTGAAAAACATGGAACTCTAAAACCCAAAAGGCAAAAGCTTGGTCGGCTGCGTCTCTGGGGTCCAATGTTAACAAAGAGACAAATATCAGATCATATCGTCAAGTTCTGATGAGTCAATTTCTAAGGGTCAACGTGTATACACTGAGAATGACATTTAGTTTTGCCGATGCTATAAGAAAATGACCACTCCTCCATAACGTAGGGGCCATTTTTGGTAACAAGTATTTATTTAGAAAACGGACCCCAAAAATGGCAAAATTTCAAGAATTTTTGCTGAGTTTTTTTATGGTTATCAAATTAGCGACCGGTAAAAGATGTTAATTAAGGGTAAAGTCCGATGTTCGGAAAAAGTAACTTACAAAAAAATGGTGTTTGGGCCAAGTCCAAAGTTTTTCAGTCGAGCTTCTCATGTTACCTTGTGGAACCATAAATTTTTTGATCTGTTCACCAG